TTCAGCGCTAGATTTAGCAACTTTCAGACGCTTTTAGCGGCTTTTTCCCATAGAATATATATACTGACAATCCTAGCGACTTTTTTGGATAAACCTTAGCTATGATTCAGTTGGAAGATGTCGCCAGTGCTGCCCCGCGAGCGCGAGGTCTGACTCTCTCGGCGTCTGTTCTGTGCAGTGAGCGGCAGAGAAGCATCGCTTTCAGCTGGCCGTACCACAGCCGACTCGTCAATAAATGAGTAAGCACCTGTCGCTTACTGACTGTTTGCAATTATAGATATGAGCATAGTTCGTCTATTAATATAATGCAAACATTTTTATTGTTTTGTTTTGTTACTCAGATGCAGGCAGTGCACTGCATGAGACAAAAAGTAATATAGCCAAAACCACCGCATAGCCGCTCAACATGCATCTACTGTACATGCATGTTGATTTTATCAGACGATGTCGCGATTATAAATGAGAGTGACTCCTGGTTAACATGTATAAATGGGTCGTGTTTCGTCACTATTTAGAGTGGAATTTTCCTACAATATTCACGCATCATGACAGTAAAATAGGGCATTCTAAGTCAATCTACTACAGTAGCCTATTTCCTCTCTCAATCAGTAGAAAATGTGGTTTACACCCGGTCATGCATGGGAAAAAGAAAAAATAAATACCGTCATATACCGTGAAACCGGTATAATTTTAAAAAATACCGTGATATTAATTTTTGGTCATACCGCCCACCACTACTTGAGTGCAATGCCAAGTCGCCAACATCTCAAAATCCAATCCACAATTGGAACTTTAAAGGCCTCAAAAAAACCTCGGAATCCAGACTGTTGAAAACTGTTTCCTATATGAGCGAGTATTACCTCTATAGTGGCGTGTGTGTTGTGTTTGTAGGCCGTGTACAGGGGGAACTGGATCTGAAAGATCTTGGCAGCGCACAGCAGCAGTTTCTCCTGGTCTTCTGTGCTCCAGGATGCAAACAGGTCCAGGCTGCTCTCGTTCCCGCTCTCGCCCGCCGTGGGTTCACTGAGCTTGGGCTGGGGATCCGGTTTGACCCCCTGATTTTGGTTCTTGTGCTGATCTCCATCCTCCACTCCACCATCTTCTTCAGCTGAGTCCCGTTCCACATTCAGTGGCTCATCCTCACTGGGTGACGGCTGTGGCTGGGCGGAGCCCCATTCAGACTCCACCCCCTCAGTCCTAGTGTTGCCATGGCCACTGTGTAGACCGTCCCTAAGGTTGGTTACTTGGGCAATGACCAAGTTAATGAGGGCATAAACCAGTTGGCTGAACACCTCGAGGTGTTTGTATTCCTTGAAACAGCACAGACACTGCCTGCAGATGAACACGGAAAGAATCGGTCGTCAGCCCATCATTTACAATTTTGTTTATTAAATATTTTGGCTACTTTAACGGTGCTATCAGCTACCAAGGAGATCGTAGTACACTCTGTTTAACACACTTGACAGAGTTTAAAGGGGTCATATGATGCGATTTCAAGTTTTCCTTTCTCTTTGGAGTGTTACAAGCTGATTATGCATAGATAAGATCCCTGAAGTTGCAAAGACTAAAGTCTCAAAACCAAAGAGATATTCTTTATCAAAGTTAAGACTCTGCCACGCCCCCCTAAAACGGCTCGTTCTAACACGCCCCCACATATCTACCTCACTATGTGGCAATATTTGCATAATGCCGCCCAAATGTGCACGCAAAGAAAGAAGGCGTGGTTTCAGTAACCGCAGTTAGTGTTGAAGCAGCATGTCATGGAGACGCTGTGTGTGTCTAGGCCAAAGCAAAAGCACTTTATTTGGGCTTCCGAAAGTAGATGCATTTAGGAATCTTTAAGATCACTTACAACAGAACAGCAACACATTTTATGGACGACCGTTTCGTGAACCTAGGAGAGGAGGTAATTCTGACTTTGCCTTCTGAATCAGCTACTGTTTTGTTACTAGTTTAAGTATTTGCTATTGACTGTTCAAATGCGGAGTTTTGGTCTTTACATTTATTTTGAAAGCTGAAGCTCGCGATTATGGTAAGGGGGGTTACATTTCCGACGAGTGCTTGCGGTGTTCGTCCAATCACAATGCACTGGGTCAGCTGGCCAATCAGAGCAGACTGCGCTTGTCAAAGGAGGGGGCTTTGTAGAAAACGAAGCGTTTGAGAGAGGCGGGGCATATAGGACCTACAATAATGTACAGTATTTGAAAAATAATGTGTTTTTTGAACATTAAAGCATGTCAACATATTCTGTTACACCAAATACACCAAATAATGATCTTTAAAAAAGCATCATATGACCCCTTTAAATCCAATCCAAACAACACAAAACGTATCAATTCATGAAAAAATGTCGATGATGACAAAGAAAACAACAATATGATGCAGGATGGAGTAGAAAACATAAGAATGAATGAATGAATGAATGAATGAATGAATGCGAGTGAAGAAGAGAAATGAACAAATGAGCAAGTCAGTGAGCAAATGAGAATAAATAAATGAACGAATTAGTGAGAGAATGAGAATAAATGAATGAGCGAATCAGTGAGTGAATCAGTAAGCGAGTGAGAATGCATTAATGAACGAGTCAGTGAGTGAATGAGAATGAATGAATCAGTGAGTGAATGAGCATGTGATTGAACAAGAGAATGAATGAATTAGCAAATCAGTGAGCGAATCAGTGAATGAATCAGTGAAAGAATGAGAATGCATGAATAAGTGAGTCAGTGAGCAAGTCAGCGAGCAACTGAGAATGAATGAATAAGCCAATTAGTGAGTGAAAGAATGAGAATTAAAGAATAATCAAATCAGTAAGCAAATGAGAATGAATGAATGAGCAAGTCAGTGAGTCATAGAGAATAAATTAATGAGTGAATCAGTGAACAAATTAGTATGCGAATCAGTAAGCAAATCAGTGAGCGAATGAGAATAAATGAATAAATAAATACAGTGAGTGAGTAGACAAGGGAATCAATGAATGTGTCAGTGAATGAATCTGCAAGCAATTGAATGAGTGAATGAATGAATGAATGTACGACAGACTGCAGTGAGTGAATGAATGACAAATGACTGATTGTTTGAGTAATAGGTTAGGAATAAACATCCGAGTGAGTGAGAAGTCAATGAGGGAATGAGTTCTGAGGGAATGCATGAGTGAATTACCTGGACATATGAGCAATTGAGAAATGAACAAATAAACATCTAAACTTATAAACAAACCAATCAAGGAATGAATGAGTAACTGTATGTTTAAAAGCGTTAATGAATTGAATATGCGAATGACTGAGTGCTGACCTCTGTGTCCATGTGCTGATGTAAGTGAAGACTCTTAAGGCATGCTCCTTCTTCAGCTGCAGGCCGTCTGAGCTGTCTGCATCCGAGACTGAGACACACACACACACACACACAGACGGAGAAAGAAAGCTGTTAATGAACTGGCTACAGGGTTCTAGAGCTCTCTGGGATCAGATCAGTGTTAGAGACACAGCAAATGCTGAACGACGACTTACACACCAAGGTTTAATACTTTATGTCAGAGATTTTTCCAAATTATTAAGCAAGAGAAACAGTGATACAGCACAAAAAAAAATTAAAATCTGTGAAACAACCCATGGCACTCATGGTACATCAAATGAAAACCAGTGAAACTGGCAGAGAACAGTCAAGACAGAACGTCCTGTCCTAGACAGCACTCTCACGCTGTAAAAAATGAGTGTCATTTTAATAGTAAAGACTGTAGAAATGCTACAGCGAAAACAAGTTAACTGGTTAATGAAAATACACTGAAAATCTGTAATTACTAATGAGACATTTTACAGCACCATTGCTGTTTAATGTACAGCTGACATTCCCAAAATTCCCTGTGAGACAATTTTGACATATTTGGTGTTTTTTTTTTTATTGAAATAAATGTTTCTGGCTACTTTTTTCATATCAGTTAGGCCTATGTGCATTAGGGGCTTTGTTTAATCTTGTGTTAAATAAATACTTACAGCGTTTTTTGATGCGTGTTACCATGATGGCGTTTTTTGTTAGTGACATTTTGCACCTTCTATATAGAAGTATTTATCTCGGCTTGAGGAAAAACTACTTGTTATGAACTTTGATTCAACATGCGACAGATTTTAGTCTTTTGGTATATTATCATTATTTCAGTTAATGAAATATAGGCTACATTTTTTATGTAAATGTAAGTTAAATCTGTAAAACTTATAATGTTGCATTTTTTTCACCTCAAAGTTATGGCAACCTATTTTTTTTTACCATACATTTCTTTGATTTTTTTTTTTTTTTTTCACAGTAAGACTATATGTGGGAATCACATTAAGCATGCTCATACAGATGATCACGGTACTGTAATTTGCAGGACCTTAACATCCATTTAGGTGCTCTATCCCGACAAACCACACACACACACACACACACACACACACACAGAGCACAATTAATAGTTTCCACAGTGACGAGGGAGTTGCTGGACTCGGGAATGCTACCTCGGGGTTGTAAAGTTCACTCGAGCAGCTGGTTAGCCTTGACCTACATGAGATTTTTGTTCTTCTTTCTGTAAAACGGCTTTCCTGTCTTTTTTTTCTCTGCCGTTTCCACACAGCTTTACAGTAACAATCCAGGGCATTGTGCTCAAGGACTGAGAAACAGTTTGACAGCGCTGTGATATGAGGATCTGTTATCAAAGCTGAAAACTCAAAACCACAAAAGCACCAAAAATCCCTCAAAGTCTCACGGCACAGGAAAAAAAGTAAAACTGCACACATAGACTGATTGAATCACAGTATTCAGTTCTTTTCAAGAGAAAAACAGTCCGACCTTAATGACTTATAGGAATAATTCACCCAAAAAGGACATTCTGTCATTATTTACTTGCCCTCGTGTTGTTCCAAGACTTTATTTCTCCTATGGAGATATAAAAACTTAATTTCTCCTGTGGAACAGAAAAGAAGATATTTTGAAGAATGTTCATGCTGCTCTTTTTTCATATAGCTGTACTACAAAAATGACAAAACGTACCATAAATAAGTCTTAACGACTTGTTTGATATTTAACAAAAAATTGTTCTGAGATGAACAGACTAAATTAATTTTTACCAAGTCAGTTTTTTCCTTGTTGTGCAATGATTTGCTGATTTGAATATGCAAAACACAAACAACATACAAGAGCTTGGATAGAGGAAAAGATTTTTAGCAAATGACAACTTGAATTTTGTCTGTTCCTCGCACAAAGCTATCATATGACTTCAAAACACTTGAAATATAGCTGCCTAGACTACTTTTTTTTTTATTTTTTTACCCTTTTTAAAGATTCAAAGCTCCTGGTTACTGTATCTTTGCACTGAAAAGAGCAGCATGAACATTCTTTAAAACATCTCCTTTTGTAGTTCACAGAAGAAAGCAAGGCATATGGGTTTGGACTGGAGCATCATGAGGATGACTTAATAATGACAAAGATCTCTTTAATAGAAGAACTTTTCAAATCTAGTTAAAATGCCCTGTGATTCATATCTTTTTATGATGTCTGGCACAACTGGTTTAGTGACTGTCTGTCTGTTTTTGACCTTTCAGTAAATGTGAAATTACAGAGTGTGCATAAACAAACTTCTGCTGACACACACACACAATGAAATATTGGAAATATTGATGTTTAATATTAAATTTGTGCATGTAAAAAGTGCAATTACTAAATAGCATGCTTAAATTATTTATAATATTAAATTATATATTAAAAATAAATGTGATGATAATTATATAGATACTTTTACCATATAGGCCTATATTTGGCTCTTTTATCATCCAGCCCTATTAGTTGCTACCAAATAATACCAAATTGTTGGCACCCATGATTCTTGTTTACGCAACACCATCGTCTTCCAGTTAAGCAACAGAACCTGCTGTCATATGGTGCCGACAAACATAATTCTACATAATTCTATACATTTCAAATGCAAACACTTGCACAAAAATCACATGGAAATAAAACAATTACATTCAAGCTACGTGCAATAAGATGATCTAACACTTCAGTAACAAGTGATGACAGCACTACAGGTGAGATTTCACTTAATAGAATAAAAAAGCATTATAAGTCGCTTAGAAGTTACTAGCAAAAAAAAACCCTCATGGTATGATTATGTTTTTTTGAAGTTACTACACTAATGCCATGCATTTTGGTTATGATATGGTACATGTAACAGGACAGTATTAGTGATTTTATAATATGGTAACCGTTATATCATAGGCTTTTTTTTTTTTTTACATTATCATGGTAATTCAACTGTATTCCTTGGAGTAATATCTCTAAGCCCATGGTATAGGCCTATCAATGTTGCAATCATTCATTACCACAATATATATCAAAATTCCACCTCCCATCATAACCTAAATTACTACAATAATGCAGAAAAAACAAGATATTACTATCAAATATCGTTGTATATCAGCGTGGCAATCATTCAGTACAACAGTATATATTAAAGTACAACCACAGTACCATGTTTTCAGGACTTTACCATGGTAATGCCATGTTTTCTGACATGTAGTATGGTGTTTTTATAATATGGTAAAATAGTAATATGTTTTTTTTTTTTGTGAATCATCATGGTAATTCAGCTGCATTCTTCAGAGTACTAGGTATATCAACATGACAATCATTCAGAACCACGGTATATATCAAAGTACAACAATATTATCTGATACTAATGTTTTTGACATGCATCATAGTAATTTCATGGTATTCTTTAAAGTATCATGCACATACTATGGTAAACCTTCAGTACATTGGTATATACCAAAGTACCATCTGACATTATAACTGTACCAGCAGAGTATTATGTTTTTTGGACTTTCCTATAGTGATGTGATGCTTTTGACATATATCACAGTAGTTCTTTCAAGTTTCATGCAAAAACCATGGCAAACCTTCACTACAATGGTACATATCAAAGTGCCATGGTATTACCATCAGTCACTGTCTTGCCAAGACATCAGTGCTGAAGCAAAGAAAGCGCAATAATCCACATCACACTCTCTCCATCCAACAAAGCACACAAACACAAATACTGTGTGACTCCTGTCCAGCAGCGGGCCAAAGACTGCTAAAAACTCACATCCCGACTGTCAGATCGCATGAACCCTCATAAATCACCTGCTCGAGCAGAATTACACTGCCGTGTGGATCGTGTTGGCTGATCAGATGTTGATCTGTGTGCATTTTGAAGGATGACAATGTCAAAAACACTTCTGCTTGGGCTAATGCTAATGCTAATGTCAGTCCAACTTCCCATCAGCCTCCAACCATATTCAAACAAGCTGATGGTCAAAGCACACATAAAGATGTTTTCTGATGTTTCTCTTCTAAATAAACAGCAGATTTTGTAGCTGCTCTTGATTGACGATTTAATTCTGAAATGACGAGGGGCTAACACGTTCAAATAGCATTAAGTTACATTAATAAAAACAGATATCAAAATCAAACAAAAGAGAAGTAATGACAGCCAAAAGGTGCTTGAGCGCTCTTTTAAATGCACACGTTGACAAAAAGAGTGAAAGATTAAATATTAAACACGAAAATCTGCGCTGAATCGAGGCAGCGAGCCGCATGCTCGGACAGTCATGCTAACTTGCTGCAAACAACTACAAAAACACAACAAACGCACAAAAACCAATCAAATGCTGTTGACTTACTCTCATTGAGCACCTCCAGCAGCTCGGCGCAGTTCTCACACATGGTTCATAAAGGCGGAAAGTGTATTCAGACCATTGGAGAAATAAAATGTTGCCTGTTTTTCTCTGTCTTTTTAAGGGGGGTGTTTAAGGCCCGACGAAATGCTTGATGAAGGCTCGTTATTATGAGACAACACAACCAGGGAGGTTTGGGCTCATGCAAGCGGGATTGTTTGCCGAAATGTCGAGGGTGGAGACAGTAAATGTGAGGCACTAAAGGAGCGGAGAGTCAGTCTCCGAGCAGAGCGTTACTGTGCAGACCAGCACATACGGCAGCCATGATGAACAGGGACGGGAGTTACACTTCGGTTGTTTCCGTCGAGCGACTTCGGAAATGTTCGGCATTTTCCGGGAATGTTCGCGATCGCTCGGAGGCAAGCGGGTAACGTTGTGCGAGACGTCGGCTGTTTCCGCCGAGTCGTCTTGCAGGTCGTTCGGCCTTTTTCGGAAAACTGGCAAAGAGAGAGGGAGGGGCGACCGTTTGTTACACATCGGCTGTTTTCGTTACGCCTGCTTCCGGCCCTTTCGGCCATTCTACGGAAATCTCGCGATGTCTCGCTGTCGAGCACGTGTACGTGTGCTGTTTTAATTTTGATATGTGACCCTGGACCACAAAACCAGTCATAAGGGTCAATTTTTTAAAATTGAGATTTGTAAATGATTTGAAAACTGAATAAATAAGCTTTCCATTGATGTATGATTTGTTAGGATAGGACACAATTTTGATTTGGCTGAGATACAACTATTTGAAAATCTGGGCCCTCATTTATCAAGTGTGTATGCACAGATGTGTGCATAATGAGTGCATAAGCACAATTTCACGCCAAGTGTGTGATCTACCAACTTGTACTCCGTGCGACTCCACCGGGCAGGGACACCGCCAAAGGACATAAGTATCGCTTTTTATCTCTCCTCTTTCCACTTCTGTTTCAGGTTTTTATAAACTATTTCTTACTATGTGTCAGTAAGTTGTTGTTATTTTAGCATGCGTGTTTGCCTCAGTGTTATTTTTTTAGGATTACTGATGAACTAATGTACTTTGATTTGTATTAGTTATCAGTTTTAGTTTTAGTTACAGTTGTAGTAATGTTGTCATTTTATTAGTTTTTTATTATGTCTATATAGGCTTTTTATTAAGTTTTACTTTTATTTAATTTGAGTTATTTCAGTACTTCAACATACAAAATGGAAATGAAATAATATATATATATATTGAATGTATTTATATATATGTACATGTATATGTATATGTGTGTGGCTGTACATACACATATGTAGTTGTTTTTTGGTGTTGGCTTAGTGTTATGTTAGAATCATTATTATACTCATACCTTTTGTTCTTTTAATATTTTTGAATTATTTTTAGCTTTATTTTTTTGTTTTCATTTAAATGTTTTAGTTTTGAAATGTTGTTGTATGCATTTGTCATTTTTATTTAATTTATTTTACTTTCTTAAATGTGTATATATATAGTATTTATAGAGTTTTAGCTTTTAGTTTTAATTACATTTTCTTATTTGTAAGTCGCTTTGGATAAAAGCGTCTGCTAAATGACTAAAAGTAAAGTAAACTGGATTCCCAGTGTTATAATGAGCGAAGTGTGTGAGACTAGAGGAGCGAGTGTGTGAGCGTTTGCCAACATCAGTCTTTACATTCACTCTAATGTGAACCTACGGCTGTAAATCCAGCCCAATGCAAGCAGCAGGTGCGGACGGGCCGAACTAACAGCGTGCTGAAATGGCATTATATTTGCAGCTGCAGACAGACTCAGAGTTCTTGAAGAGCCTCCTGATATCTCACGTCACCGGCCACAAACACGCTAGAGACTAGGGCTGGAGAAAGGTGGAGACAAGTTCAGTTGGTTTTAACAAAATATTAGTGAAAGGAGGCGCTGAAGCTGCTGAAAAAGCTGTTCCTCCACTTCAGATCAAACCAATTGCTACATTTTACATTTATTTTAGATAACATTTCCCATCTTTTCAGCACTTGAGACAGATACAGATTAAATCCTGACTTGTATGATTTTATTATCGATTATATTATCGATTTATGATTTTTGAGCAGTAAATATTCAACTAATATTGTTTTTCGTAATTAAAATAAGTTTATTTAATGCAATTAATAATAGTAAGTAAATAATAGAGCTAATTCTGTAATCCATTGATTACATTAAATATATGATATTGATAGCTGATTTAAATTAGAATATATTTGATGTGTTCAAAAGCAAATTTATAAAATATATAAAATTAAAATCCTTTTTTTTTTTCATTTCACCTAAAGCACTTTTTACTTGCTACTATGGTGTATAAAATGTGCTATAAAAATAAATTTGCCTTGCAAACATGCATACTCCAAAAACATGGTATTAACATGGTATTATTTTAAATGATGTTTCCAAGCTACTTTTCATGTCCCTCTGTGAAGCACATGAGATTTGCACCTTTATTGCTTTTATAAATATGTTAGCGGGAGCTCAGTTTGAGCTATCATGGGAAAGTCCTGTTGTTGTGTTTTCTGGTGGGATTCCCTGCAGTATTTCATCTCGCTCACGCTCATTCAGCGCACAGGCTCCGTCACTGATGCTGTCAAGAGCGAGAGCAGTGTTCAGAGCCGTAACTCACCGCATTTACATGAATGCATCTGCCAGATGCTTTAATCCAAAGAGACTCGCATTGCATTAAAAGCGTATATTATATAAGTTCACGCATTCTCTGAGCATCAAACCCGTGACTCTGGTGTTGTTGCTGACATGAACTACAGGAGCTCTGACATCAATCGCACTCATTAACAAGTCAATATTATTTATATAGCACTTTTCACAATGTGCATAATTTCAAAGCAGCTTTACAGAAAAATACTGCAGTAATAAAAATAAAGTCTTCATTTACAGTAGCAGTTCAATTAAAAAATAGGGCAACTGTGATGAATAAAATTAACAAAAACTCCTTAAGGTGTTTTACAGTGAACTAAAACAACTACACTAAAACTAAAACTAAAACAAAGTCAGAATTGCAAGATATAAACTTGCAAATATAACTATATATATAAACAGTGTGAGATAAACTTGTTGAAACGAGTTGAAATGACCTTTTTTAATTTTTTATTCCACGGCTTTTTTTATTAATATTATTTTTTAT